CAAACCAAACCCGCCCGCCCGCCGCGGGCTCTCGCCCCCCTCGCCCCGGCCCCAGGAGCGCGGAGCGGGGCCCGGAACCGGCGGCTCCGCTCGTCCCGCCGCCCGGCCGGGGGTCAGCAGCGCGGCGAGGAGGCGAGCAGGGGCTCGGGCAGCTGTTTGAACAAGTTCCTGAGGGTGCTCAGCTCCCGGGAGAGCTGCTCCACCTTCTTCTGCAGCCGCTCGTTCTCGGCCGTCAGTTCCAAGACTTTATGCTGCGTCTCCAGGTTGCGCATTTTGGCTTTGTCGCGGCTCTTGCGCACCGCGATGTTGTTCCTCTCCCGGCGGAGCTTGTACTCGTCGCTGTGCTTGTCCACGCACTTCTTGGGCTTGTTCTTGCCCGCCGGAGCGGTGGAGTAGCCCCCGCCGGCGGCGGCGGACTTGGAGGACTCGGAGGGGTTGGGGGTGCCGGGGGGGCTGGAGGAGGAGGACGTGGACAGGTTCCCGCTGCTGCCGCTCGGCACCGACTGGTAACCCAGGTAGGAGCGCACGGTGCTGCCGTAGGGCGAGGACATGCCCCCCGGTCCCGGCCCCGCGCCCCCTTCTTCCTTACGGGGCCCTTTGCAAGAGTCCAGGGTCTCGAAGACCGGCTCCACTTTGGTTTCCACGATCTGCGGTGGGAAGCAGCCCGGCAGCCCCCCCGGCTTGTGGCTCTGGCTGGCGCACGGGTGGCTGTGCCGGGCGAGGCTGATGTAGGTGTAGTCGGGCTTCTTGCTGCCGCCGCTGCCTTTATAGTCCTCGGCGAAGAGATCGGAAAGGAAATCTTGGCCGGCGCCGCTGCTGCACGGAGGCTCAAAGTTGCCCCCTGCTGCTGCCGCGGGAGGCGGCGGCTGCGACGCCAAAGGCTCCAGGTACGGGCTGAAGTCGATGGCTCGCTCGTGGTCCCCGACGGTGAGCTCGGTCATGGAGCGGCCCCCGGCCGCCCGCGGGTGCAGCTTGTTGAGAGCAGCCAGACAGTCCGCCTCGTAATAGAAATTAGCCACTTCCATGGATTTAAAGGCGGGCGGCTGGATGGGGAGGCATGCTGCGTCCCAGGCCACCAGGCGTTGCATGAAAGCAAAGGGGGATGCGGGGAGGAGGAAACGACGCAGGGGGCCCCCCCCGGCACAGGGTCAAGCTGCCGCCGTCGGGGTGGGGGGCTCCAGACCCTGCCGCAGCCTCTGGCCCGGGCACGGCCCCGCGGCGCTGCCCAGCCGGGCTGGCTCAGTCCCTGCGGCGCGGCGGGGCTTCACCGCTCCGGCAGCTGCGGCGGGGGCTGGCGCGTCTCCTCCGGACCATCTGGTTCTGGGTCCCGTGTCCTAAAGTCTCTGACTTAGGAAAGTTCCTTTCCTCAGTTATTTATAGGGGCGGTGGATCCCATAGCAACAGGCGCGTCACCGCCTGGCCGCCTGCCACTCCGCACGCTCGGCGGTGCCGGTCCCGGCCCCGGAGGAGGCTCCCGGGGCGGGAGCGCTGCGGTGCCCGCCGGGCCGCCCACAACAAACCGGGCAGGGACGAGGGAGGGGCCGGGCTGCGGGCCCGCAGGTGCGGGAGGCCGGGGCTGGCAGCGGGCAGCGCTCAGAGCCAGGGACCAGCGAGTGCCCGGAGCTGCTGCTGCTGCTGCTGCCCCGTGCCCGCCTGGGCTCTGCTTGGGCAGCGCACAGCGAGGCAGTGCCCGCGGCTGGGCACAGAGCGCCCGGGGTCCCGTTTCACCCTAGGGGAAATCAAGGCAGGAGAGATTATTCCAAGTTCTTTTGGCGAAGCGGGGGGGAAGCTGCAAAGCAAAGACGGATCCCGTTACTCTCTCCATGCCGGGCTTGCTTTGGCGAATCCCACTGGCAGAAGTGTCCGCAGGGACGTGCCTGGAGCCACTCTCCAGTGGCCAGTCCAGGGCCAAGCCGGGAGGGGTTGGACAGGGCACTGCCCCAGCTCCCTCCTGCAGCCAGAGTCCAGCCGAGCCAGCGCCGCCTCCCCAGCGCTTCCTGCACCCATGGGGGCCCTAAAGTTTGTCCTGGCATATTTGCTTTGTGTGATATGGTGCAACTGTCAGGGCACACACGGGATAGGGAATTAGCGCTGGAGCCAAAGGAGACAGAGTGGGGGTCAGAGGAGAGGGAGATTCGTGCATCAGAACCTGGAATCCAAAAGTTTTTAGATTTGTGGGATAAGTTTGGGAAGGAAGACTGGATCCCGATGTCCGTTTTAATTAAAGACACCCACCTTGGGAATCAAACTTATATTTTCACTCTCTTACTCCCACATTTACCTGTCTACAAGCTGATGATTCATGCCCAGAATAAAGGACATTAATTTAAAACAAAACATATAATTAAAGGAAGTAGGAGTGTCCTCCCTCAGTAAAGAAGACCTAGCACTGCAGGGAAAATGACACTGCCTCTTAGAATAATGTGAAGCAATCCTGCGGTGTGGGAAATATTGTAACGTTAAGCCAGAGGAACAGGTATTGCATTATATGATTCAAACAGTCAACTGTTCTTAATGTTCAAACCTCAGAACTCTGAAAAGAGGAAGAATTCAAGAATCAGTCAGTGGATCATCAGACTTTTTCTTTCTTTTTTTTTATTTTATTTTTCTTTTCACATTTCAATAGGATTTTTTTGTTTGTTTCCATAACAAAAGCTCCCCAACAGGTTTTCAGGCTTCAAATATTTCTAGTTCCATCTTTATCTACCAAGTTAATCTTTGGTGAATGCACTAAAGATTAAATTGGAGCTGGGCCTGGACAGAGAGCTGGGTCTGGAGATTGTAGTTGGAGCCCATACCTTCATAAATACAAACATCTGTATTGGGTGCAAATACTGGCAAGTTACAGTGAGCCAGGGCTTGTTCTCCTGGCTGTTTACTCCCTCATCCTGTGCCTTTATCCTGCATTCTGATCTGGCAGTTACATCCAGTGGCTGCCCTAACTGGCCCTTCCAACCGAACTCTTCAAAATCAGTCTCGTGTTTCCTACCCCGAACCGTCCCCAGGCCCCAGAGGCAGGAGCTGTCCTGGGGGGTGACTGCTCCAGGCACAGCTGCTCTGCCTTGGCATTGCCCCCACAGGTCTCCAGCTCGCCCTGGTCCTGGCTCAAGTCAATCGTTAGAGCTGCTCGGTTAAAATTCCCGAACGGATTTTCGAGACGTTTTTGGACATCCGAGTTTGCCCTCTTCAAATTTCTTCCCTGTTCTCTGCTGCTCTGCAGCAGAAAGTTGTACTCCTGCCTGGGTTAATCTTCCAGAACAAAATAAAATGTCTGTGCAACTGTCATGTGAAGCAGATTCTATCAGGGCTGGCCCACACCTGCTCTGCCGGCCAGTGCTGAGTAATCCCGCAGTCACCCCGACCACGTCACTGGGGTGGTAATTCAGGTTGGATGCCCAGCTTGTCCCCTCCTTCCCTTCTCCCCCTCACCTCCCTGCTCTACCTGCATCTCTTTCAACTTCCTCCAGCTCACCTCAAATCCCAACATCCACACTCGTGGAGCCAACGTCCATCCTCAGCTTCTCATGGGAACCTTGTTGGCGGGACTAACCACTTATCCAAAACCCCAGCGTTCGGCAAGCAGGTTTTGAGCTAACTCTGGTCTCTTTTAAATTATTTCTGCACTTGTCACAACAAATGCATGGCCAGAAGTGGGGGTTTTGAAATGGGAACAGGTGCAGAACGAGGCTCACACCACAGGATTGAGCAGAGGTCTGGGCACACAGAGCTCTGTCCCTGCTAGTGCCTGGCTTGGCCTTGCCAGACGTGCAGAGGCTGCTAAAAATTGTCCTGGAAAAGCTCCTCAGAGGTGCTTTAGGCAGGCAGATGCAGACTTTCCTGGTAAAGAGACTCAGACACTAGCAGCAGCCCTTCTTCAGCTTGTCTCCCAACAGAGTAATTTTCATTAGAAAAGCAGCACTTCTGTGAAAAGCACCTTCCTTCTAGTGATTTCATAATTTCTTTTTTTCAGAACTATTCAGCTGAGGGAGGAGACAGCAAAAGTCCCAAATTACTTAGTAAGAACATAACATTTTTGACAAAAAAATTCTGGTGCAATAGCATCCAGGTTCCTCTACATTCATGTGTGAAAATCCAGACACGGGGAGGGAACGAGAGGAGACCAGCGTGGTGAAAAGGTGGAGGGAAGAATCTCATCCTCACTGCTCATCTCTGTCATGATTTAAACTCTGCTTTCTCTTTGTACTGTAGAAGCCTCAGCTTTGCAGCTCTGGCCTCAGACCTACAGTAAAGCATTGCAGAGGAATTTTCTTCCTGGAAATTGTCTTCTTTTCCAGGATTTCTTGCAAGCTTTCCAGTTCACGCACTCCAGGTCTACAGCAGCTGTCTCTGGAATGATACTGGCTTTGGGGAGATGCTGTTAGTTTAGTGGTGATGGCTCAAACACTGAAGTGTTTATCAGAAGGTCTCTGGACCAAGGGTCATACTCTAGAAAAGAGCCTGGCTGACATTTCTGATGTTTCTTGATGCAGTTGTGTCCCATTTGTTATTTCCCTGGCAGTAGCTCTCAGCAGGTCAGTAAGATCAGAGCTGCATCACTGCTCACCCACCCTCCAGGGCTGCAGTCTGGAGCAGCAGAGGGGCAGAGTAGGGGCAGAGAAGGGGCAGAGAAAGGCAGAGAAGGACAGAGCAGGGCAGAGAAGGGGCAGAGCAGGGGCAGAGCAGGGCAGGGGGAGAAGGAGGCGATGTCAGCAGCTGACAGCTGCAGCCATGCCTGAGATGCTGTGGGCAGTGTGCTGGAGAGTGAGCTGGAGGAGAACCTGAGGGATCCCAGAGCAGTGTCCTGCAAACAAGCACGGAAGGTCTCTGGGGGGTAGGAGGGGACCTTCCTAAAAGGCTGATTTAAGTAGAGCAATGTTGCAATAAAGGCTGTAAAATAGAGAAGCAACATTGAAATTTATTTCTGAGCATGTTGAGCACTTTCTTTCCCTTCTCCCTAGCCCCAGGTCTTTTTTCTGTCACACACCATATTCCAACAGCAGCTCCCCAGCTGTACCTGGCAGAGCACAGGTTTGAAACCATTGCTCTCCACTTGCTGTTCTCTGCTGTAAAACAACAGCACTCACTAAATGTCAGACAGGGACAATGTCCCAACTCAGAGAGAGCTTGGCTCTCCCTCTGTCTGCCCCAACTCTCAAACCAGGCTGGAGACTTTGCTTCATTTTAGCACGCGAAGTGATTGCCGCACGCGAAGTGATTGCCACACGCTTTCCCCGTGCTGCCCCCGCAGCTCTGCCGTGCTGGCGGTCCCAGGGGCGCTCCGGGCTGTGTCTCCCGGCCCCCTTCGCCTCTTTTGTTACAGAGCAGAGTCTGTAACCCCGCTCCCGTGTGACACGGTGATGGGCTGTGACATGCTTTTTGTTGGTCTTGTGCTGATTTTCTGCTCACCTCTGACCCAGCAGGCTTGGCCTTTGCAGCACTCGTTGCTCAATCCCCCTTTATCTCCGCGTTGCTCTTTGCCCTACCGGGCGAGCGGAGACGACACCTGGAGACTGACACCGGTGGGACAACATCAGCCAAATACCCTCCCTGACCAGACGGAAAATTTTCCAGAGCAAATTTGAGGTCAGAGCACCCACACTGTGGCTCTGAGAAACAAAGAAAGGAGGAAGAGCCCGAGCACACAAAGGCCCATGGAAGGGAACAGTGACAAAGAATGAGACACGATCTCCATCGTGCATGGCAGAGAAAGTCCCTGCTGGAGCTGTCTGGCTGGAAGGATGTGGCTGTCAATCTGAGAGGTGACTTTGTATTTTACGAGTCGCCCATTTCCTTGTGCTCCAATAAAAATGGCAGAGAAGTTGCTGTCCACTGACTTTCCAAAAGTTCTCTGTAGTTGCCTGACATTTCCTGGGTAATTGCAGCCTCCTGCTTTGACGAATTTGTTATAGGTCATGTATTTATGACCTCTAGTGTATCCAAGCTTTCAAAAGATCCATCAAGGGAAGATGAATTCTATCCTTCCAAGGCACCCTGCGAAGTGTCAGAAGTTCCTAGTAACAGAACTTGGTAATTCATTTAGAAAATTTCTAAAAGAGGAGAACTCTTCCAAGGTCCTGAGGCTGCGGGACAGACAGCTTGAACTCCATGGGGTGTATGGCCAGGGGCAACATAAACAAGGCAAGCCTGAGAGGGGGTGACAGGAGAAGGGGCTTAGGCGAAGGAATAGAAGATTTTTTTCTTTATTAAAAGCATTAAAACTCTGTGCTCTAGACTGTACAAATACTTGTTTTCCGTCTGCTCTCATCCTGTGTCGAGCACCACGGGGAAAATGGGGCTGCCAGGGAATCGGTTCGGACTTGTTGTTTGTGAGTCCTGGCACTCGGAACAGCCCCGGGGCTGGTCCGTGTCACCTGGCAGCTGGCTGTGTGGACGGGCTGCCAGGTGAGGGGAACCAAGGTGTTCTGTCCTCCACATGCCGCGCTCCTCGGTCTCTGTCAGCTCCCCACCTCCGCATTTACGGCTTTGGACGGGAGCCGTGGGAGTGGCAGTTCCAACTCTGCCACCCACTGACACTTTCCCATGCCAGACAGAGTCCAGCGAGGAGCCGCAGCCGGTTCCTGCTGCCCCGGTGCCCCGGGGCTGGGGCGGACCGAGCGGCGCGGGGGAGCGGGGGCAGGTGCGGGGCCGAGCTCACCCGGGGGGATGCGACAGGAGCCGGGACGGGGCCAGGGTCCACCGGGGGCACCAGTGTCACCTCCCGCCGCTCCGGTGAAGGGTCGGAGATAAGTTCGGTGTGGAACGCGCTAAGCGCCGCTGTTCGGGGATGGCCCCGTGCAAACGGGCTCCGCCGCCGTGGGAGGTTCTCTCCCGTGTCCTGTCCGGGTCCGGCCGGTCCCGGAGGGGCTGAAATGCAGCAAGTCCGTACCGAGGACGCGGGGACCGGGCCAGGCTGCCCCGGCAAGGAGAGCCCCGAGCCCGCCTCGGGCCAGATCCCGATCCCGGTCCCGAGCCCCATCCCGGCCCGGCAACAGGCTTGGAGCGCCACCTAGCGGGCCGGGCCGGGCCGTGCCGTGCTGTGCCGGGCCATGCCGGGCGTTACCGGGACCCGGACCGGGACCGTGCCGCCGGTCGGGCTGTGCCGTTGTACGGACAAGTTCGACTCTGATCCCGCCGATCCTCAGCCATTTTCCAAGGAAGTTTGAGAGCCCATCCATAGCCAGACTCCGGTAGCGATGTGCCGGTGTCTGTTCTCCCGACAGCCCTTTGGTCCTGACAAACCGAGATCACCAACACACCTTGGAGGTGACTTGGGAACGGCTCCCGGGAACGTGCCTCAAACCAGAACCGGTTACATCTTCCTCTAAGTCACACACCGGCACCGGGCACGTGTGGCCGCCTGTCGCAAGCCCGGGAGTGTCCCGGTACCCCCGGTAAATAACGGCAGTGCGAGCAGCTTACTGCCATCATTTAAAGTGTCCAGCACCAGCAGGGAGGGCAGCGGGCCGGGTCGCCAAAAGCACCGGCAGTGGCTCCATTGTCGCCGTTGTGGCGAATCGCGAGCACACGCCGGCAGAGGGCGCGCGAGGCACCGGGCGGAGAGGGCGGTGCGAACGGGAACACCCGGGACCGCCCGGCCCCGCCTCGGCCCCGCTTCCGCTCCCACCCCGGCCCGGACCGGATCGCTCCCACCGCCTCACCCTGCCCTGCCACTCCCGGGACTGACCGGGACCTCCCGGGACCGCCCAGCCCCGCCCGTCTTAGCCCGGCCCGGCCCGGCCCGGCCGCCCCGCCCCGCGCTGCGCCGCGGGCCGTGCCGCCTCGCCATTGGCTGCCGCTCGCCGGGCGGCGCTGCCCATTGGCCCGGCGGGCGCAGGGCGGCGGCGGCGATTGGCGGGAGGCGGCGGGGCGGGGCCCGGCTGGCCCGCCCCCCGCCGCAGCGCGGCCCGTTGCCGTCGCTGCCGGGCGGGTCCGCGGGCCCTGCGCGCCCATCCCGGCCGGACATGGCCGAGAGCGGCCCGGGGGCGGCCGCGCCGAGGGACGAGGCCGCGGAGGAGCCCGAGGGCGGCGGGCGGCGCTGGGGCGCTCAGCACGCCGGGGCCCGCGAGCTGGCCGAGCTCTACTCGCCAGGTGAGGCGGCGCGGACGGGCGGGGCCCTCGGGTCGGGTGCTCGCGGTGGCTGCCCCAGGAGCCGTTCCCCTCGGGCCCGGCTCTCCCCGGGCTCGGTTCTGCCGTGGCCGGCCGCGCTCGGGCCCGGCTCTCCCCGGGCCAGCTCCCGCGGGGCGGGCACGGGCTCGGAGCGGGGCTGCGGCACGGGCCGGGCTGCGGGCCGGAGCGTTCCCGGCCGCAGACTGCCCGGAATGGCCGGTCTGCTCCCCAAAGCCGGCAGGCACAATGAGAACCTTCCCCTCTAGGCGCAGGTGGGCACGCGGTAACTGCGGGAGCTTTGCCTTCAGAGCATCTGCTCAGTGAGCGACCCTGAGAGCTCCAGGCCTGGCACATCCCAAAGGGCAGAGGGATGCTTCAGTTCCTGCTTCGTGATTGCTGAAGCTTGGAACTCGTCAAACAAGCTTCAGTTTGTCATTTGAGTGCTCAGTAAATGACTGTTTGACTATGCTGTGGAAATAATTGCAAACTCCATGTAAAAAAAAAATAGTTTGTTTTCAGCTGACTGCGTGAGCAGTGCTGGGGATCCCTGCCATTCCTAGTCAATACATTCTCTGGTCAAGAATTAGGGGAGGGAAGATGTGTTTTCAGTATCTTGTGGTTTCCAGCAGATCAGCTGAGCCCAGCTTGCACATCCAAGGCAATTCCTGCACAAGTAGATGTTGTTACTCGCACAGAGCAGTGTGATGATAAGAAATCCAAGGCCTTTGTTGGTTGGTTGGCCTTTGTGTGACTGGGGCAAGTCTGCCCATTTCAGTTTATTTTGCTCACCTTGAGGTCCTTTGTGACACCTTTCAGCCGCTCTGGTTCATCCAGGGCTGATTCCTGTGCTTCGCACAAAAGCAGTCACTGACTTTACCACTGGTCTGGTCAGAAGGAAAAGATTTTCCTCCTCGAAGAGCTTGCTGCCCTTCTCACTGGCTGTAGCACATGTACCGTGATATGTCAGGGAGCTGAGGGTGTATTAGATATGCAGGTTTCTTCTGGCATTACATAAATAATTTACATAAGCAATGCCAGAATATGTATTATGGTGGAAGTGTATCAAGTTCAAATTCTGAATTCATAAGAACAGGAGATTACATTGAATGGTGCAGAGTGAACATGACTGGCATATTTCCCTGATTTCTTTAAGCACGTACCTTGTGGCTTTGGCACTCCATTCCTTCACACAGGACACACTCTGCAATTTGAGTGCCCTTTAGCACAGGTTATCAGCGCTGACTCAGTTCCTTGACTGATTTGCCTTCCCAGTGCAGAGGTGAGGCTGCGTTTTTGAAGCTGGATATCTGGACAGCCACCCTGGATCCCTGTGCTTAGAGTACAGGGGTGTTTGCACACACTGAACTCAAGGGACTTGCCAGCCTCCTTTCCAGCACTCAGCTAATTGTTCTATGAGGATCTACCCACTTAGCTCCTCTAATCAGGGTGTGGTTTTCTTATGTAGGAAGTGAGTGTTAATTAACTCTTACTTTCATTACTCCAGGGATCTCTTTATGGAATCACCCACCTTGTGACCTGATGCAGCTGTCAAATATGGCTGTTCTTGTGTCTTAATTTAATTTTACTATTCTCTCCTCTGCTGCTGCAGAGTGTTAATTTATATACCCATGGCCTTTCTAGAACTTCTGAAATGACCTGTCAAAATCTTTGTTCACACTTTCCAGTAGCCAGTTGCCAATTTGTGGGCACATTGGAGATATGACTGATCTTCCATTTATGTTCCTACTTTGCCTGCTCACTGCATGGTACAGTTGAGAAGGAGGACTTGATTTAGCATTTAGGAGGAGAAATTTGATCAGGCATTAGGTCAGCAGAGAGGAGGAGTAGGACAGAAGCTGAACACATGCCAAGCCTGAGTGTGCCTCTGCTCCTGGCATAGCACATGCACCTCTGGAGCCCTCCCTGAGCCTTCCTTGAGCTCGGCTTTGCCGGGGGAGTGGGGAAGATTCTGTGGGGTCACTGCTCTGGGGAGCCCTGGGCAAGAGGAGGTTGTGCTGGCTGACCCCTGAAACAGGCAGGGACTGGCCTGGCAGCTCCTGAGGGCATTAAGAGCTGCCTGCAGCCCCAGCCCTTCTGGTGACAGCTTAGATCTTGGCCTTGGGTATTAAAAGTCTGTTTCTGTGCCCTAATCCTGCAGGTCTCACCCTGAGTGTTCTCTGTGCTGTGCCTCGTGGGGATCCAGCAGTGGAGAACAGGGAGCAGCTTTCTGTGCTAACCTGAAACTCCACGTACTCTGATGTGCCTGTTCCCTTTTTATAGGCAGTAAATGATTTTTTAATAGAGGTATAAAGTAGTACAGCGAGGTGCCAGTTTTTACTCTTTTCTTGTTCTGTCCCTTGTCATCTCAGAGTGGCTGAGAGTTCCCAGACTTTGCCTGGGAGCAGGAAGGTACAGACAAGACAACAGTTCAGGGAAAAGCTTCAGGGGAATACTTGTGATGATAGACAAGCCATTCTAGGGCCGCCAAAATACAGAATGGTGAGAATGGTGCTTTTTCCTGTTAGTACAACAGCTTTATTTAAAATCTCAGAGCTTGTAAATATTACAGATCACAAGGTGATTTAAATATGTTTGAGGCCAGAAATTTCTTCCCAGATTCAGCCCTTCTAGCAACACTGAATATTGGATGAAATGCAAATTGAGAGAAGATGTGACGTGGAGGAACTTTATGCCAGCAATCTCAGGGAGAGGGAAACTAGGACAGTGTGAGATATCTGGTTTGGCCCTGTTAATTGGACAAGGGCAGAAGGAAGAGGTTAGTAGTGGCTTGGGGAAGAGGAATGTGATTTAACAAAGTGTGTGCACCTCCCGTGGATAAATAAGTTTCTGTTTCAGTTCCCTGTCAGACAAATGGAGCGAGTGATCCAGGCAGTAGAATGGTCGGTCTTTGTTATTTCAGGCTTCAAAAAGTCCTCTCAGATAAAAGTAAAACATGCTTTTTCACTTTTTCTTTCAACAGGAAAGAGACTACAAGAATGGATCTCTGTCATCTTATGCTTCTCTCTGATCTGCTTCAATTTTTACAATCTCCTCTTCTACTTGAGACTGGAGCACACGCCCTCGGTTCTTGTTGGGATTTGTAAGTAGGAACTTGCCAAGGCAAGACTTCTGTGATGTTGGAAGCAAATGTGGGATCCTTTAGGCTTGACTCATTGGAAAGAGAGAGGGACATTTGTGTGTGAGCCCCTGAAACTGAGATCATCTGCAAAACGTGTCACTGCTTTGTCTTTACATTTCAGTGGCTCCTCATTATCTCAGAGTGTAAGTTTGGTGTTCTTGGGTAGTCACTGCAAGTGTAAGGACTATTGAGAAGGAAAAGAGCTGTCAAAATGGTTGGAGTTGGAAACAATACATTGATTGGCAAAATATTCACCAGAACTTTTCAGAAAGCAGAAGCTCAAGGGAAATGTTACAAAAGGTGCTTCAGGCATCAAACTGTCTTCATTTCTGGGGACTGCAGACTGAGCACAAGAATTTTGGAGAATTTCATGTTAGGATGTGATGTTTGGCCTTTATCCTGAATGATGACTTTTTTCAGGGGTATAAGAAAAGTTGATTCCACCTCTTCTGTGAGGAGAGTAAGAACCAGTGAAGGATTCTGATAGAATGTTCAGCTCCTGTGCTTTGGAAAAAATTTTAGAAGAGAATGGTACTTGTTCATAATCAGTGCTGTGCAATGCTAATGAATTGAAACAAAGCCCACCCAAAACACTGCACCAGGTTCAAGCAGTGGTACATGACAGAAGCTCTGCATTTCTGCCCAAGCTCTGACATGGGGATTCCTGATGTCTGGGTGGAGGTTATTGGCTTTTTGGGCCCAAGGGGAGCACTGTCCTCCACTGTGAGTCACACCAGCTCTCTTGGCCTAATTCAGTCTTGCCTGCTCTCAGCTGATGAGGTGGAGGTGTTGGGAGGAATGGAGAGAGCATTGCACAGGAACTGCTCCTTAGGGGTGAGGGCAGATCCAGACAAGAGAATCAGCAATGATGGTTAACCTGTGGTGCAATCTGTTTGCTGCTGGCTTTCATCTCAAAGTTAATATTGATAAAAGCTGGAGTTCTCTGATATCCTGGTTACCAGTTTGACTGATAAAGTAGCCAATTGACTGATAGTATTATTTAAGTAGTAGTGAATGATTAAAGTAGCAGAATCTGGATTCTGTGTAAATAAAATGGTGTGGAAATAACTGATAGTGTGTACAAAAATGAGTGCCATAAAATAGTAAGTGCTTCAGGCTATCTTGTTTTGCTGTCTTCAATACATTATTTCTCCAGCTGAAGAGTTAATGATGTCTGCAATTCCCAGTGATTACTGGGTTTTATTGCACGTTGTGAAAGTCATATCCACAGAAGTCCTGATTCCTAAATACGTGAGCAACTCCATGGTTCAGGATTTACTGTTGGAAATCCTGAATCACCCACAAGGTGAGGTGTGTCCCATTGTCAGCCTCCCTCAGGCTTGGTTTGGAATATTGACCTTTGAGCTGAAGTCACAAAAACAAACATTCTGCCAGTAAAGATGGAGCTCTAGATCAAGTTCCTGCCAGGTCTTTGGGAATTTGAAAGGAATCACTGTTCCAGTGAGCTGGATCTGTTCTGCTGTCCTGCTCACTGCATGGGCACCCTCTGTGTGCTCTTAGGCAAATGCATATTTTCTTTTAGGAAATGAAGTAGTTTGAGCATTCTGCATCATTTCACTGAGCCTAAACCCTGTGTCTGTAATTAAAGGCTGTGTCACAGCTTCTTTCTTTGTGCCTTTAAAGGCATCTGGAATTGTAACGCGAGTAACCCTGTAAATACCTTAAGCTGGAGATTCCTGGGACAGAGATCTGCTCCTCTGGTGGCTGGCAGTCAGGCAGTCTGTCCCTTGTCCCTCCCTGTGTGCTGTGGCCGTGCTGACTCACCCAGTGTCTGCAGGGAGAGCAGCGCTGAGGGCACAGCTCCTTGGTTCAGAGCAGCTCTTGGGCTGGGTCGTGTCCTGCTGACTAAAGATGAGCTTGCTGGACAGGAAGAGCCACGGGACTCTCATGTCTTCCAGGCTGATTTAGCACAGATGAGACAACTTCCTTCCCCTCCTCACCTTAAAAAAAAAAAAAAAAAAAAGGAGTAGGCAGAGGATGGATTTTTGTATTTCTGTTGTGTTTTGTGCTAGCTCCAGTCATGCCCTGTTCTGGATATCCTCAGCTGCTGGGCAGCCATGGGACTGTTCCTCTTTCAGCATGCTCAGAGCTGTGCAGATCTGAGCTGGGTGTTTTATTTGCATGCACACAAGCACCCAGCTCGCTCAGGCAGCCCTGGCTGGGATGGGGCTCTGAGGGAGGTTGAACATCCCCGTTTTTCCCACTGCAGCAGGACAATATCCCAGCAGTGCCACAGAACCAGAGCAGCCTCTGTAATTGAAGGTTGGCAGTGCCAGGGACAAGGCTGGCAATGGGATTATTGTGTGGTAAGCAGAAAAGCCTCACAAGATTTGTAATAGCTGGCTTGAAAGCCCTCATACCTCCAGGTGAGCTTGTGGTGTCCAGTATATTCAACATACATGAGCTGATTAATATTATTATTAATTATTATTATTAATAACATCTAGATAAAAATTTGGCAAGTTACAACATGCATCTTGGTTTTAATGTTCCTCTCCTTCCTCCTGTTTTTGTATAGGGTTTTAAACCCCTTTTTTCCAAGTTGGCTGACTTGTTTCAGATATTTGACTGTTATCTGCAGCCATGTTTGTTCATGACAGGAACTGTTCATTGCAGTCTTACAAAAAAAGAAGAGTTAACTTTGTGTTGTAACCTCTTTATATTCCTAAGAACTGTCCCACATAGGGCAGATATCTTTAGGAACACCTTGTGACATGATGCAAGTTACAAGTAATTCCTGTTCTCCTGAAAGATGGGCAACTGATTTTTTTTTTTAACCCATTTGAGGTACTTGTTTCATTATTGCAGAGGTTGTGGGTTAGCCAGAGAGAGCACACAGGCAGAAATTAGTTAGTGCAATTTCCAAATAGAAACTCTCATAGAAATCTCATCAAGGCCCAGAACCTCTTTGTTTGAAGCTCCAGCAGCTCTGCAGGGCTGCCCTTGGTCAGCTGCATTGCAGAGCCAGACACTGAGTGTGTGACACACGAAAGCTGTGGCACACATTGGAGAAAAAACACTCCAGAGATGTCAGTGCTGGGCACGTGGCTCAGGTGTGCACATCCTGCTGCCTCACAGCTCCAGAGATGGCACTTCATCTTGGATTTATTGTGTGCATTAAAATGTGTTTACACTTGAAATTTTGTTTTAAAAGGTTCTTGAAATTACACCAGAAACTTCAGCTAGCAAAGGAAAAATGATCCTTTACTTCAGTGCTGGTGCAAGTCAGTGGGTTCTTTGTCACCTGCTGTGTCACCCACCTGAAGCAGCCATCAGTTACTGTGGGTAACTTCGTGTTTCCATTCTCAGCTGCATCACCTCTAGAGATCCTTTGTGTTGCAGCAGCAGGGTCTGTGTTGTGTGTGCTGTGGATCCCTTGGGCAGAACCGGGCTGGGTTCTGTGGAGCCTGGCCGGGCACCAGGAGGAGGAAGAGGAGGGTACGGGTGTCACTCCTGGAGCAAAGGGACCTGGCATAATAATTGCTGGTTTGCACTCAGCAGGTGATGCTGGCACCGTTATCTGTTCTGTGAGGATTGGGGATGGACTCCTCGTGCTGGCAGCTGTCGTGGGGCAGGCTCTGCCCAGGCTCCTGGCACTGCAGGGAAGGTGGCACGGCCCCATCTGTGTCCCCATCTGTGTCCCCAGGGACGAGTACAGGGGACAAAGGCAGCTCTGTCTGCGTGCCCACTTGTCAGGGGCTCTCTTAAAGTTACAGCAGGGTTTGGCTGGAGGGTTAAGCTTTTCAGGTGGTGATTCTGAGCCAAGCTGTGCTTTTGTGGATGAGGATTTGCTGCTGTTCAGTCTGGAGAGGGGACAGGAGCCCAATTCCTTGGGGACTCCTTTCACTGCTGTGGCTGTTCCCCAGGCTGATGGGGTGTGCCGTGCTCAGAGGCATTGCAGGAGGCAGGACATGCATCCATGCATCCCAAGGTGTTCCTGGAGCAGGGAGTAACCCCAAGGAGAGCTGTGTGCTCCCTGAGTGATGTGCCAGGGCAGCTGCTGTGAGAGCCCACGCTGTTCCTGTCCCTGGAGTGTGGCTACTGCAGACAGGACCTGTTGCAAACCCTGCTTGCAGTGTGATAGAGCTGCTGTAGTGATACATTTGCTGTCCCAGCCCTTCTGTGGGTACTCTCAGGTCCAGTTCTGACTGAAAGTTTCTCAGCTTTATTAGCCAAGATGATGAACTCTTCTTTTTTTTTGCTTTCAAGCTGCTACAGGTTATTCTTATTGAAATGTCCAGAGATTATTATCTTAGTCTTGTAGTTTGCCATAATATCAAACTCCTGCCTTCTCTGTACTGAAAGTCACTAAATGGGGACTGCAGGTGACTAAGGCATTTTATTTTCATAATCTTATAAGTGACAAAAAAAAGGTACTTTGGCATAATGATATGTAGGCAACAAGATTTTTTTATGTGTGGAGTTAGCCACACCAACCTTTAGTGCTATTCAATCAGTTCACACAGTCACTGATTAAACATGATTGTACTCCTCAGTAATGTTACACAATAGCATCAAGTTATTTAATAACATCTTATCCTGGTTTCTTCCTCTCCAGAGACTCTTAACTGAATTTTTACAGTAAATATGAAACTTTGTATACTTTGATGTAAGACTTTCAGGTTACAATTTGATCATTCTATCTATGCAAAGCCAAGCTTACGCTCGGCTTATAAAATCCTGATGTAGTAAAACTTTTAATGGTAAATATGCACAGCAGCTTTGTCTCTCAGAGCTCTTGTGGGGCCTCCTCCTTCCGTGGGCCCCAGGAGCAGCCTGACCACGGGAAGTGGTTCAAGAGTCACCCACAAGAACAGAGGTTCCAGGCTGTCTCTCAATTTGACTGAAGCAGTGAGGAGGTGGAGAGGTCACAAATCTTCCCCATTCCCTGGTTTCTGAGCAGGACACAAGTGGCACAGAGCTGCCCTGTGTCCGTGGTGTGTTTGGGGCAGTTTTGTCCAGCCCCATGTCCTGCTCTGGGGAGAGGCCCTGGTGTTCAGAGCCCTGCTGTGCCTGGGAGGTGCCCACACAGAGGATCACCAGTGTGGGGAAATGGGGCAGGCAGCATTTCCAGCAGATGTGTGTGGCTGTTCACTTGGATACTGGTTGGAGTCCATTTGTGCACCTTTGGGCTCCCTGTGTGCTGGGCTGCCTTCCTTCCTCATTCTTCAGTCTACTTACAAATCAAAACCCCCAGTGCTCTGAGCAGTCCTGCAGCTCGTGTCCTTCCTCCCTCCCTCCCTGTGTGCTCTGAGCACGGCCTCCTCCTCGGGGATAACCCCTGGGTGGGCTGATCCTCACCCCTCTCAGTGAGCTGGAGATGTGTGTGGAGCAGGACTTCCCTAGTGCTGCACTGCGCTGGTTTCTGGTGAGTGTTGAATCCTCTTTTGGCAGTTCTGTACCTGAGCTGGGGTTATCAGGCTGTGGTTATCACCTCACCCATGCTCAGGGCTGTAGATCTCCTGCTGCTCTCCCAGCCTCGATGACAGCATCAAGATCTTTTCCCACCTTTGAGCAGCAGCTGAGCTCCTGTGCCTTGGTCTGGCCATGCTCAGTGAAGCCAGTGCTGGGTGTGAGGCTGCTGAGCCTGGTCCATCAGTGGGATGTGCCCTCTGAGCCCGGGGACAGGACACACACCCACCAGGTGTCACCGTGCTGGTTATGTGGAATCCCAGCACAGCTCTTGCTCTTTTATTGCAGCTCATCCTCCACAAGCACAGAGTGAGCACACCCTGCTGCAGTGCAGCTGCAAGAAGATAGCTGGTACTTAGGTTTTTCCCCGATTGCTTTAGTAGAAAGCACTGCTCCAGGCACCCTCCATTGTTCCCTTTACCAGCACACGAGGAACATCTATTGAGCTGTCAGTGTTTTGCCTCCCTTTGTGTTGCTGCTCCTGCAGTCATTTCACGGGGGTGATGCAGCAGCTGGAGGCAAGGCGGGCTAATGGGGGCATTACTCAGTGACAATGGCATTTGAGTAGTTGCAAAGAGAAGTGTTGTTTGGATATCTTCCCCTGCACCCAGGCTGCTTGCCCTTTCAGCTGCTAGGAGCAGATCTAAACACTATTGTGTCCCACCCTTGCTGCAGCCTGCCTGTGTGGTCTGAAACAACAACAAATGTACAGAATTTACTGCTTATAAAATAACCTGTCTTCAGTGTAATAAGGGAGTAGATAAAGAATGAAGTGTCTCCTGCTGCATTTAAGAGTTTGGGCCAACTGGATAATGGATTCAACGGTGGAGGCTGATTTATAATATGAAAAGAGCTTTTTTATCTCTTCTCCCTTTTTGAAAATGAAAGGTGAGGGGAAGGACTGCAGAGGTGAGGGGTCAGCCAAGCAAGAGACACCCACTAGGGGAGGTATTTCTGTTCTGTAGGAGATGGGCTAAACACAAATTCAGATTTAATGAAGATTGTTACTGTCCAAATGGTGTCTAACCTCTTTTTCCTAATTGCCTGACTGTGTGATTATTCAGACTGGGTAGATCTCATGTGGTTGTAAATATCTAAGTTAGAGGCAGATAAACAAGTAAATTTGTAAAACAAGGGTAAAATGTGACTGAGTCAGTAAAAATGCTGTTCTTGCCTGACTCTGTGTCTCTCTCTCATCCAAGTTGCAGGAGTGATTACAGCTGACTTCCTCTCAGGATTGTTCCACTGGGGAGCAGATACCTGGGGATCTGTGGAGCTGCCCATCGTTGGGAAGGTTTGACACTGTTATTCTAAAGCTTGGAAAAGTCCTGAAGTTTCCTTCCTGCAGCACTGCCAGCGCTCCCAGCTGAGCTGGGCTCTGTCTCCAGCCAGCCCAGGGAGCAGCCTGGGCACTGCTGGGGCAGGGCTGTGTTTGCACCTGGCCTGGGGCACACGTGCAGGGTGGCACTGCTCCATTTCTGCACCTGCCTGGAGGTTGGCAGTGCTGCCATCCCAGTGTTTGCAGACCTTTCAGGCTCAGTGGGAGCAGCCTGTGACACCACAAGTGTTGGGACCTGGCTGGGCACTGTGGATGCTCAGGAGGTCAGGAACACAGATTTGGAGAGTTGTCCCTGCAGCTGAACTCCTAAAAATTTGTGAAACATGAAGCTGCAACAGGAAGAATCTTCCCAGCTCCCTCTTCTATGGGCTCCTGTTGTAACACAGTAATACTAGAATGGTGGTGACTGAAGATTTAATTTGAGATGTATTATACACCTGCAGCTACAAATGCCAGTTGCTTAATGGAAGGTGCACTGGCTTCTGTAGTAAGCAGCAATCTGTTTTCTTAATTAAATTTCTCAATAGCTACCATTAATTACTCCTCACAGTGCAATATTAGGAGGATCATTATTTTAAAAAAAATGTGGGCTATTCCTTGTTATGATCCAGAGTTACATGAACTACAACAGCAGAATTAAAACTGTTGAGTTTGGCTTGTTTTTGTTCACCTTCAATAGACTTGGTAGTCTTGAACTCCTGTATCTCTGGGCCACAGTTTAAATAATTCTTAAAAACCCTACTGCTAGAGACTCTGTACTAAATAACCATGAGCTGGGGCTGCCCAGGACACCTCTGCACAGGCTGGACATGCTGGAAGTGTTAAAGGCAAATCAGTAACTGGTTTGTCTGTCCCACACAGTAAAACAATGGCTCTGTGTGTTCAGATATGATTTCTGCTCCTAGAGGTGATTTCTGTATAGTCTGTTTGTCTTCCACTGCTTTGTCCAGTCACTTAATTAGTATTTAATCTGTTGGTGCTGACATATGTAGCCCATAAATATGGTAGGCTGAATCCTAATTTTTTCAGTGGGTTTTTTCCCTTGGTTAATTCTGCTTAGCAAGTGAATTTCATAGGCTTATTTTGCCTGTGAAATTAGGATGCTGATGCTTTAAGATTGCATGCTGAAGGTCCTAAGTGAAAATCGAGAAGAAGAAAAATGAAAAGCAAAGAAAACTTGAGTTTGGGTGTGGGAACTGAATTTGAATTTGCTTTGCAAATGTAAATCAAATTATCTGAAGTGTCGTTGTGACAAAAGTTTGAATCCTGCCTACATGCTTTATACTGTGGAATTTTCTTCAACGTCATTTCAGATTTGAGTGTACAAGAGGGTTTTTTGGGTTTGTTGGGTTTATTTTTTTTGGAATATTTTTCTTTCCCAAGACCATTATTAAGTGTGGTATTGTGTTTATCCAATTGTTTTCCCAGGCTTTCATCAGACCCTTTAGGGAACACCATATTGACCCCACAGCAATCACCAGACACGATTTCATAGAGACCAATGGAGACAACTGCTTCATGACACTGGTCCCCTTGGCAAACATGGCATACAAATTTGTTTCTTTTTCCCAAGGTAAGCTGGTACTTCTGGCTACTGTGGATTTAGTGTTCTTGTTGCTACTGAATGAACATTTGTCTGTGTGAAGTTTGGAGAAATCCGTGGATGTGATATGACATGATTGGAAGCATGGTGCTCCTGGCAGGAGGGAGGGAAACTTTTTCCTTTGAGCTGTGGTGGCAGAAGGTGGCACAGTGAGGTTCTCTAGCTCAGCAGAGGATCTGGGGCTGGAGAGTTGTGCAAGGAAGATTAGAAGTTATGCAAATACTCTTTTTATAAGAGGGAGCAAGCTGTGAACATCTGGGGAAACTCATTGTTCCAAAGTGTGTCACACAAAACAATGCTTCATCTGTGTGCACACGTACTTTGTGTGCAAACCAGAAGTCAACAACTTCAGATCAGATTAATTTTTTTATGGTAAACTCAGTTTGACTTCCTGTTTCTGGTGTTTTGACAAACTCTGGCACTTCCCAACCTGTCTTGTGACATTTGGGAATTGCTTATGGCTCGCTGGTTCTTGTGACACTTCTGGCAAAGCAGCTTTGGTGGGGCCTTTGTCAGTCCCTGCAGCAGCAGGTAGCTGAGGCTGGGCAGGACGCTGTCCTGGTGGAAATGTGCCTTTGCACAGCTGGCTCACAGCTGGCTCACAGCTGCCCGTGGTGTTTTGCAGAGGCCCTGTGTGAGAGCTGTCCCTGGGAGTGTTACGTCTTTGCCCTCATCATCTTCATCACCATGACGAACCAGATCCACAAGTGGTCCCACACGTACTTTGGCCTTCCTCGCTGGGTCGTGTTCCTGCAGGACTGGCACATCATCCTGCCCAGGAAGCACCACAGGATCCACCACGTGTCCCCCCACGAGACCTACTTCTGCATCACCACAGGTACTGTCCCCCTGCACGGCCATCCTGCCAGGAGGTGACACTCCTGCAGTGAGCTGTGCTCTCACAGCCTCTGGGCATGACTGCAGCTGGGGTTTTGCATATTGAGAGTGGGGGAAGGTTCGTGGTGAGCTGCAGGGAGCTCAGAGCCTGAGGGAGCAGTCAGTGGTGCTCAGATCCTGGGGTCTTGGCGAGCTCAGGCCACTAATGGGGTTTGTTCACTAAAGCTGCTGTTCCTTCAAAAGAGCAGAATGTCTGCAGCTGGTCTGGAATGCTCATTTCTAAAGCCAGGCTTCTGGGTTTTCAGCATCCACTCATTCTGACTCAGAGGATTGGACAGGTTTGCAGAAAGCTTTAGCTTCCTTTTATACCTGTACAGGTGGGAATGCTCAGTCACCAGTGTTGCACGATCCTAAATAAGTTATCAAGTTAATTAGATGGCCGGAAACAAACCATTCTGGTTCTTCATTCTGTCATTGGCTTCAACAAATGGTTCATGTGGGTTTTGAAACCTCTGCCAGGAAAAAAATCTAATTCTCATTAGCAGAATGTCATGTAGAAACATGGTACAATTAAGAAGCCTGACTTGACAGATGGTGGCAACAGTCTTGCCACCCAGAGAGCTATTTTTAAGTCCTGCTATGTCCTGAGAGTTTAAGCCTGACCATTATTAGCAGTATTGGGCTATTGCTTTTTTTTTCTCATTAAAAAAACGTTGAACTTTGGATGCTATGACAAACTAATCCTCTTTTTTCCTTTGCAATCCCTTAGGTTGGCTGAATTATCCGTTAGAGAAGATAAGATTTTGGAGATGTTTGGAGAACATCATCCAAGGACTTACTGGGGAGAAGCCGAGAGCAGATGACATGAAATGGGCTCAGAAAATCAAATAACTTTTGCCAGCCTTCTGCAATCCTTAACTTGTTGCCAATGTTGTTTTTAAAAGAAAAAAAAAATTAAATAAAGCCATCAGCCAAATTCAAGACCTGCAAAGAAATAACAGACTCTAAAGCACAAACTAAAAAGTGCTAACACAGACTGCAACGAAAAGAACTAATTCTTAAAACAATACTTGAAATGAAGATGATTACTCTCACTGAGCACCTTTTTGTGTAGCCATGTCTGCTTACACCCTAGAACTCGCTTCGTCGCTGTATCGTGAGGTCCCGGGCACGCAGAGGCAGCACAGGCACTCCGGGGGCACGTGGGGCATAGCAAACAATGTGTTGTATCAACATTATTGAACACTTCCTAAACAGCTTGTTGCCTAAGAGCCTGCAGGGAGAGCGGTGACAAGTTTGTCACTTGATGTCGGAGTGCAAGGGCACTGCGTGAGAGCAGTGGAAGCTCTGAAATCATGACTGTTCAGTGCCCTCGGTGATCGATCAATGTTCAGCCTGATTGTGTCATGTGGAACTGACTCGGAGAATCCTGCTCCTCCAGGGGCCACCAATCCTCAAGTGTCTTCAGTTTCCCTTAAAACAAAATTGTTCTACTCTCCACGTGGAATTGAGCAAACAGTTTCTGCATAAGCCTTCAACTTCAGGAGCCTCTGAGGAGGGGGAGGGCACCCTATAACACATGTGTCTGTTCATGTGGAGTGCTCACTGCTGAGTCTTCTACTAAGTGTTTCCTACCCTGAGAATAAATGTTTGAAATAGTTCTAGCATTGGGCACACTGCAAATAGCTGTATTCAAGAGCTCAAGGTATCAAATTCGTAATGTTAGAAGGGAAATGTCAATGACTGGTGTTTTGTTCTTTTTATTTTTTTTTAAGGTGCTTGCTTGTTTCTGTAAATAATATAAAGCCTTAATCTCTTCTGGTGTAATGGAATAATATTTTAATGTGATGTTTGAATGTATATAATATATTTATAACAAAGCAGTTGGATAATACTAATCATGTTCAAGTCTTGTTGCTGTTTTTCATTGCTGCACTGGCAGCACTTAGTGCAGGAGCTGGATCAGTGCATGCACAACACCTCGTGCAGTCCCACACCTGAGCCACCTGGCAGCCTGTCACAGCTTCTTTGGGTTGGAGTGATCATCTGCCAGTGTTCTAGGAGCCTGGCACTGTTATACCTTTCTAGAAGTGTAAGTAATTCATTCTGCACTGGATGCAAAGGAGTAACCCCCCCAAGCCGAACTGGGGTGAAGAAGTTTCTCTAAAAACATCCAACAGGCACTTTATAAAGTTTATGTAATTTGGATCTTGTTTAATTCTTGCCTGACTGAAAGCTTTCTGATGGTCAGATGTAAGGTATGCTCTCTCCTCTAGCTGTAAATTGTGTTAAATTCAAACTGCCTCTTCCTGAAGAGCAGGGTAAGATGGCTTTGAGTTGTAGATTTAGACTGACCTTGATCTCCACTTCTTCAGCTATGGTGAATGAGTTGGGACCTGGCAACTCTCCTTCAGTGGGAAATGCTGAATGCAGGTGCCTCTGAGCTGGGTTCTGCAGATGAAAATCACAGTCGGTACACTGGTCACAAAATACTTAATGTAAGTGGTCAGACCCTTGCAGAACTTTATGCCATTACATGAAGCTGTTTTCTGTTCCATTGCTACAGTCAATACCAGCTCTGCAGCTTTGACATTAAAGAATTCTTCCTCTTCAATAGGAGTCCCAAAATGCTTTCAGTTGATTCTGGAGAGCTCTGGACAGAATGGGGTGGATGTTCAGGGCTCCTGTGTAAGTCAGCCTGAAGCACTGGATCCTCTGAGAGCTCTTTTCAGGTTTAAATACCAAGTGAGCAGCAGTGGTGCAGTGGATGGAACAAACGGATTTGGAGACAGGAATCACTGGAATTTGTACTTCCAACGTGCTGCTTTTAAGGCATTGCTGCTGCCCAAACCTCTCCTGGCCTCCTCTCCTCTCCTGGCTGCTGTCACCTTACTGGAAACAAATCTGAGCTACACATACTGGTGGCTGCTGGGACTATTTATCTGTTAATCTTACTTAATTATGAGAAACTGGGACAGAGTTAATCCCCCGATGCACTTTCCACGTGGATGCTGTGCCGGGCTCCAGGGCAGCCCTGACTGACTCCCCAAACCCAACGTGGCTGCAGCTCCCAAGGTCCCTGCTCCACCCCTTCAAAGACATGGATGCTCCCACAAAATCAATATGGCAATTCTGGAGCAAAAGGCTGCCTGGATCCTTCTTAACGGCTGTAAATCTGGCTTAAGAAAATTTAGCTTAAGTTGATTAGGAACAGATTAGAGCTGAAGCAGAATAAGGCACTCCTGTTAAACTCTTCAGGGATGGATGGCCTCCATTTCAGTTCAGTGCTTCTAAATGCTTTTAAAAGTTCTCTGATCTCAGTCTCACCTCCACGGAGAACTCTGGACCCTCAAAAGGACTCTCAGGCCTCCAACTTTTGCCAGGGCTGCAGTTGCCCTCCGTGAGTGCATCTTGTGGTCAGGAGGGCTTGGAGGAGCAGGGGTGATCCCTTATGTGCATCCCAGGAGCAGGAATGATCCTTTTTGTGCAGCTGTGGCACTGCAGAGCCCCCCAGACAGACAGATAGTCTGGGGACACGGCTGCACAGGGAAGTGTTGCACTGTAGTAAACCGAGAAAAATTACTGCGAAGTGCTTCGAAATCCCACCTGGAGGTTATGGCTCGGGTGTGGAACCTGTCTCTGTGATCCTCCTGGGCCTTGACTCAGCAGCCTAAACGCTGGAGGGGGATGCTGGATGGAAGGGTGTGCAATGAGTCCTCCAGCATGCAGAAAATCATCCTGCTGGGTCTGGGCTCTGCCTGCAGGGCACCAGCCCCGGCTCTGCTGCTGAGCTGAGCTCTCGTGCCATCTAGCTGCCTTGTCCCGATGCTTTTCCTGCTGCCTTGTCCTTGTTCCTTCGTGCTGCCTTGATCCAGCCCGTGCTCAGCGTGGCTGACATGAAATGTTGCTGGTTGCAATAAAAGCCAATCACTACCACCAGCGCTGGTGTTTTAAAGCAGCTTCCCAGAGCAAAGCTCAGTCTGGCAGGGCTCGCTGCAGAACGGGGCTTAAGCTGCCAAACGTTTTGTTTCGTAATTCTTTCTGATATTTTCATAGGATGTTTTGGGGCTCAGTTTTTGGAACATGTGTTGCGAAGCGAAGCAGAACTCATTTCCTTCCTATTTCTTTTAACTTTCCTTTCGTGTTATGCACGGAGCAGGCTGGGTGAGGCTGGGCCGGAGTGGAAGGGATGTTACTCGCCCGACACGGCGCTGGTGTCGCGGAGCCCCGGGTCCGGTGTCGAGGTTGCACCGAGCGGCGATACCGCCCGCCCGCACCGCGGAGCTGCGGGAGCGCCGCGCGTGCACCACGGAACTCCCCACGCGGCCCCGCCCCGCCGCGAGCTCCCTTAGCGCGCCCGCCCGCGCCGCGCCCGCGGCCGCAGTTCCCGCGTTGCGGTGACGTCAGGCGGGGGCGGGGCCGGCGGCGGCGGCGCAAGATGGCGGCGACCACGGGCGCGGGTGAGCGGGGCCGGGCCAGACCGGGCGGCGGGGCCGCGCCAGGGCCGCCTCGCCCCGGGGCACCCGCGGGGCCGCGCCCGGGGACGGCGGGGCGGGAGGCGCCCGGCGGAGGGGTGGCTGCGGCCGGGGGGACGGGGCGGCGGCGCGGCCCGAGCGGGGCCCGGTGGGGCGGGGGTGGAGCCGGAGCCGTCCCCGCTGCCGTCCGCGGGTCCCGGCGGGCCCGGCCGCGCTTCCCCGGGGCTGCCGAGGCCTCGCGCTCGGAGCGGCCCCGGTGAGGCTCCGGACGCGAGCGGGGCCGCTCGGGCCCTGCGGGACGCGTGTCCCACCGGGCCGGGACCGGGACCGGGCCGGGGCGCCGGGCGGGCCCGCAGCCCTTGGCGGGGCCGAGCCCCGAGCCCGGGCCGTCGTTCGGGCTCTTTTCCTGCCGTGCTGCTCTCCTGGCCAGTGCCGTGTGGCCAGGGCTGCTCTCCTCTCGGTAGTCCCCGAACTGTGGCTGCAGCTACGTGAGTGAAATCAGCGCTGTAAAAGCGTTTCTCGCTGATTTCCTCTCTGTGTTCCGGGAGACGTGTGTAACTCCCGTGTCAGGACGTCTGTGCTCCAGAAAAGCACCGAATTTTTTATTCCCTTCAAACCTGCTCCACACCAGCTTTCAGCAGTTACACACACTCTCCCTTTGCATTTATCATTACACATTAAACAAAAATACTGCAACTAGATTTGGAGTGAGGTTTTTTTCTGTTTATATCCTCTAGTGAACTTCAGCAAATCGAGTAAATCAGAGTCACTTCTGTTGAGGCAGTTTCATTTTCCTGTTTTCCTCAGTCCAGGGAGGGTTTCACATGTGCCCCTGTAGTGCTTGTTTTCAAGTTGCACCCTCCGATGTTTGGCTGTGTGCTCACAAGAACGTGACTGCTGGGGATATAATAGAAGCATTTCAGAGTTCTTTTTTTACAGTTAGTTCTCTGTCAATGACCACTTGGATTTTAAGAATAATCATCACAGTGCACATAATTCATGTTAATCAAGTTAATACAAACACTTCTAAGGTGCAGTGGTTGCTGTCCTGAGGATTGTGTTACAGATCTGTGTTTGAACGTGTCGGGTGTTGACTAAAGACACAAAAACTGTAGCTCGGGAGAAGGGACCCTTCTTCCCCTGTTAGTCACATTCTCCTGCCTGCTCTCATTCTCAGTGATCCTTCCAAGCTGCTGACTTTGCACTTTGTGTTTGGCTGGAAGAACAAGGCAAACACTTTCCTTTGCAAGCCAGTGCAGCTGTGAGTGAATTGTTAGGTGTGGGACAGGCTGTTGTTAGGCACAGCTGCTGGCCACGGTGTGTCTGTTGCATTGTTGCTGTTGTCCCCTGGGTTTGTGGCAGCTGTCTGGTGTCCCCAGCGCTGTGTGTCCCTCAGTGTCCCTGTGTGCAGTGTGGGCTCACAGCTCTCCAGCTGCTCCAGGGCTGACTGACAGAGCTGTGCTGCAGGAGCCCTGCATGTCTGCAGTAAAACCCAAAATTCAGCCTGGGAGGCTCCGTGGATGGGAGCTGTAACTCATGGCTGCCCTCCCAGCATTCTGTACTATTGGGAAAGGACAGATTTTCCTGTGCTGGGAGCAAGGGCAGCCCGGTGCCCAGGTGCTGGCAGTGGCACTGCAGTGCAGGCTGTGTGGGTCCCTGCTGCCCTGCAGTGAGGGCAGGGCCTGGCACAGGCAGGGTGGCTGCAGGTGGCACCTCCACACTCTCCACTGCTCAGGAAAGTGCCCCAATACTGCCTTCACTCAACTGGGAAGCACAGTTTGCTAAAACTTGTTTTGTGGAATCCTAGTGTGTTCATATTTGTCTGTAAAACACTGGGATGTGTGTGGTGTCTTGAGTTTGTGGTGGTTCAGCAATGGAGCCTAAACACTTATCAAAGATGATAAATGCTCATCTGTCTTCAACAGCAGCTACTCATCCAGAAGAAGTTGTAACAAATGTCCTTGTAACCTAAAAAAGTCATAGGGCTGATCCTGGCAATTACACAGGTAAATAGATTAGATTTGTATCTATTAAGCAGGTAGAAATTATTTACAAGAGGAAGAACCCAACCCTCAGCCTGGAAGGAATGTTGAGATGTGAGATCCATCTGTACCACTAAGAGGGGAATCCTGTGTTGCTGATGATATGGGTTTCCCACACACCCCGTTACTGTATGAATAAAAAGAAAGGGTTGACTTTAATGATTTAAATAAGGCTGTTCCTAGGAGACTCCACTGTGTATGTCCCTCTTTCAGACTGAGGTGTCCTGCAGGAATGCTCAGCTCCCAGGAGTTCCTCAGAGGCTCCTGCTGGGCTGCAGTTACACCAGAGGCCTTGCACCACGTTGCTGTCCTGCAGATTCAGGTTTAATAATGAGTCAAAACCCAGCTATGCTGGCCTTGGGGGATTGTGTTTCTCTGCTTTCACCCTGGGAAAGGTTGAATGACCTCACTTCACCCACTTTTCTCTCCCAGTTCAGTTTCGTGGGTCCATTGCAGGGCTGTGAGGCACTGTGTTTGCCAACAGCCTGGAAGTGCTAAGTGGTAACATGGTTTGCCCAGATTTAAGTTTTTCCAAGTCTAAGGAAGGGGAAGAACTGCAGGAGAACTGGTCATTGTGTGTATGGCTGTGACATTGCTGGGACATGTGGCTTAATGCTCCTAACAGAGAAAAGCACACACTGGGGTTAGTACAGTGTGTTAAAAATTTCTGGTTTTAACTGCTGGGGGCTCTGTAACATCCCTGTAAACTCCAGGGGGTGCTTGTGAAAAGCACAGGAGAGCTGCAGTGTGAGTGTTGCACAGTGCAGGTGATGGAGGGACATCCTTTTCTCCAAGGAATTGCCAGCACCAAGGGCTCTCTGGGGCTGGAAGTGAAAGACTCAAAGGTAGGGGAAAAGTAATTGAAGGAAAAATGCAAGATAAATTCTGCATTCTTAAATACGATGGACTGTGAGAGCACGTGAAATAGTGCCAGAGGAGTTGATTGCACCCTCGTAAAAGGATGCAGTAGGTTGAGTAGAAAGGTAAATAGTTCAACACTCCTACAAGATGATACTGAATTGAATATTTTCGTCTTCAATGATATAAATTATATAATATGTTTGAAAAGCAGCATTGTTGCTGAGAACAGTACTAATTAGTGTATTGAATATGTAGACAGGTAAGGATCCTGGCAGGTGTAACACTGACAGGTTTGGTGAGGGTGTGAAAGTTGGGATTTTCAGGTGGTGAGGGTGCTGTTCAACTCCTGCCAGTGGAGCTGCAGTTATTGATGGTTTGTGCCTCATTCCCCTGGGTGTGAGCTGGGGCTGTTTCCCTTCATCTGGGGCTGTGTGTGACCCTGCCTGTGCCTTCACCTGGGGGCCTCACACTGATGTTTTAGTGACCTCTTTCCAAGGAGCCTGCCTAAAACACTGAAAGGTAGAACCAGTGCTGAAGCTTGCACAGAACAGAAAACATTTCAGATTGTTGAAGTGCACAGGAAGTTATTTTTGTGTCTGTAAAATATCTCAGTACCACTACTCACTACTGCATCATCAGAGAGGAAATTGTGACTGTAAAGGCAATGCAAGAAATCCAAAGTTCCTGTCTCCTGAAAGCTTTTGTGACAAATGCTGAAAGCCTTTTATTTGGTTTTAAGCATTCCATCACTTCAGAAACTTTATATACCATTGTGACAAGGAATGGCTTGTGTATTTTTTACAGTCCCAGTGCTGCAAGGATTAGCTGTCCAATTCATTATCTGCAGTCAATGCAAAGACATGAAACACAGACTGAAAAGGATGTAATTAAGGCTGAGTATCAAATACACAGAAACAAGCAACAGAAAGCACTTTAATGTACTGAGAGGTGTTTAAAGCTGTTGGATTTCAGCTCATATGAATTACTGTAAATCGGGAACTAATATAGGAAGCAGAGTTTGAATTGTCCAGTTTGGTAAGTTGCTTGTTGCCAGTGAAGATGTGGAAAAGCCTTCAGTAAAAGACAGTTCCTGTCCTCAGAGCCCCATTTTCTGGGGGATTGCTGAGGTGTGCTGTGCCTGTGCTTCAGCCCTGAAGAGAAGTGCTTGTAATTCGATCTCACTTTAGAGAGGAGAGAGAAACGTGACGTTGAAGTTTTTGCGAGGTGTATTTTTTGTTCTGCTGCCACTGATCAGAAGGATTGGAGGAGAGGATCTGTCCCTAAAGGCACATGGCCTGCTTGGTTTCACAGTGCTGTTCTCAGCTTCACAGGGTGTCTGGATGTGAAATTACTTTGGCTACGGAACTGAGGAAGATGGAGATGGAAAAGTGTGGTCTGTGAGTAAGATGAGAAAAATCTCAGCCTGATAAGGTCTCTCTTAAAGTTGTTGCAAGACATTCAGTTGTGTATCTGTATCTTTAGTAGTGCTGCATTAAAAGGTAAATCTGAGAGTGCTTTAAGATCTTTAAAAGTCCAAGCTGGCATTTAATGTCTTTCAGGATAATTCTGTTCTTTAGTGAGATTCTGACCAGGTCAGACTCCTTTTTTGTCCCCATTTCAGTGTGCAGGCTCAGTCTTGCAACTCATTGGTTTACAAACAGCTGAGTTGTGAGGTGCCAGGGAAATTTCTGACACAGAAAACAGAAGGTCTTGATTTGGTTGAAGGCTGAAGAGGAGGTCACGAGGTCACCCAGCTTCTTACCTGCAACTCTGAGCTCCATGAAGTACAATCTGTGGTTCACTTCTCCTCTCTGGTTGCCATAAAATTATTTCCTTAACGTTTTGTAGCTTCTGAACTCGTGTGGGGTTGAGGCTTTGTAAATCCACATTGCAGAAAGTTGTGCTTTGGGAAGGATTGTTCAAATCTGTCACTGGAGAGCTTGCCTAGTCATTACAGTCATGATTTAACTCTCACTGGTTTGCTGTTGTGATTAATAGTGAATATCTCTTTTTGCTCTGAAATATGTTTTCAGTTCCATTTCTGGGAGTATTTCTGTGAGGTTAGACAAGCTGCAGTGAAGCAGTTACTGAGATATTACTATATTTATGTTTCAAATGAAGCTGCTATTTGAGAGTCATCTTGAACCATAGTGAAGGCTAAATTAAAATGCGTAACTGAAAGTACTTTAGACAAGCTGATTACTTTTTAATTGCCTCTCACTTTATTTAGGCTTTCTTGTGTTAAATGAAGGGCTCTTAGGAAAACAGGTTGGTTTGGTTACTTCCATGGAAGTCTCCATTGCTACACTGAGAAGGTTGTGCAAGATATTTATTGGGGGGTGAGAGAGGAAACTCCTGGTGCTGTCAGGGGACACAGGACATCTCCTGACTCTGCATGGACATTTATTTGGCAGATACTGTGTGTGCCTAGGACAGGTCTGGCTGCTTTCTAGGAATCTTGATGGACAGGAAACGGGGTGGTGATGAGTTGTGTGTGATCACAAGTGATAAAGGTCGTGAGGTTCGGGTCCCAGCAGGATGTGGCAGCAGAGCAGGACTGCTCCAGGCCCTTGCAAACGAGGAGGAGATGGAGTTGGCTTAATGGCCTTGTGCATCTTTCCAGACTGACCAGAAGGATGAACCTGGTCTTTATTCTGCCTTGCTTAAGGGAAGTTTATTTATATAAAGAATTTATGGTCATATGGGCATATTCTTTTATGTTAATATGTGTGATTCTCTTTCTATTGAATGAATTTCCTGAGAATGTGTCAGGGGAGGAGCTGAATTGCCACCTTCTGTGGTAGTTGAGGTGATGGTCCTTCCACATTACACCCTGAGCTTTAGAATAGAGGTAAAACATATTTAGAAAGCAGCAGTGCTATTGGACAGGGTCACCTCTTGTAAAATTACCAGTTATCTCCCATGGTCATTTTATTTTCTGTGAAGCGCATAAAACTCAAATCAAATTTTATTTGCCATGAAGTGCATTAAACAAATGTGTGTCCTTGCCTTTGGGCACCCCCTTGCCATGATGCCCTGCAGTGCTCACAAGGAGCAGTTCCTGTGGCATGAGCACTCATTCCTGTAACCGATTTCCATGTGACAGGAATCAGTGCACGATGTGACTCGCCAGCTCTCTAGAGACCTCACACTTGCCAAAGAGCTCAGAAATCCTGTGTGACTCTTTTATGGCTCTGATTCATGCTGGATTCATGCTGAATCAGAGCAGCTGTATCTAGGGAGAGCTCAGCAATTAAGTTGCCTTCTCCTCCCATGAGGTTGTAAAACCAAGCCCAGCTCTGGGTAACAATGTCAGAGCTAAGGCTGCCTTTCAGTCTTGGCTGTAGGAATCTGTACGTGATGATGTCATTTCTAATTACCTGCTCACTTAAAGAGTCCTGCTTGGCTCGGTGGACAGGGTGTGATGCTCAGAGGGATCACTCAGAGTTGATGCTCAGAGGAAGGGTGGACAGGCAATATTTTTGTCAGCCGTGAAGCTGATTCCTCCTAGGTTGTGTAGTTTGGTCCTAGTAAATAGCAGTGAATTGTCTTTGCACCACCGATAACTATGAAGTGATGTTGTTAAGGAGCGAGGCACAGGCACAGAGATGATGCTTGTTAAGCACTGATGTTGTGGTGTGGAAGTGAGAGCATTTTTTGGCATTCATGTGATGGCTGCTGGGGCAGGGTTTTCTCTGTGGCATCGCCTGCCCTGGGGAAGAATTCCCCTCCAGAAGGACTTCTGTTTGCCCTTCCACCCTGGCCCTATTTGCCAGGGCAGCACTTTGGCTGTGAGTCATTCCCCAGCAGCAGCTCTCCTGTGCATCCACTGCAGCAAAAACAGGGAAATAGGTGGGGTGTGCAAGCAAAGGTTGCACCTTGTCCTTCAAATCATGTCCCCCAGCTCTCTAACCCCAGGTGTTGGAGCTGGGCTGCTCTGCCTCCCCCAAACTACAGCATGGAGAGCACTGGGAATGGAACTGAAAATGAGGGAGCTCGTCTGTCATTGCTCAGGTGTGACTGGCAGACTTGAACCCTCGTGTCTGAGGCACACAGGATACACATTTCATCATTTAAAGATTCTGTGGGACAGTAAATGCCGGCGTTTTTCATGCAGGGCACATGACAATGATGCCCAGGAGGTCCTGTCACCACCCAGGTCTGGGGCTATGCAGTCTCATGGCAATGGCTTTACCAGCCCCAACTGACTCATTTCCTTTCACAGCCCAAATCTGTGTTGCTCAGCAGCCATGGAAACAGCACGGTGTGGCTGGGAGGGGATTGGGCAGAGGGAGCTGTGCTCAGCACCCCCAGATGGGAGCTTTGGTTGTGCCAGGACAGCTCTGGTGGTGCTGGCACCTCTCTGCTGGGTCTGAGTTCTGTGCTGTGCTCAGCTATGGCTGAGTCCTGCTGCCCAGGATGTTCTTGGATATGATCACGTTAGATGTGTATCCAACAAACCACTTTCTTTAGTCATTTGCTGGCTTGGTTTCTTTGATGCATGTTTTTGAATGAAATTTGGACACCACTGATTGTGCAGCAAAATCAGCTCTGCCATTTAGTTTCCTTAGGTGATTAATACATTTAAAGGAGAGATTAAAACTACCAGATCCTCTGTATTTTGCCCATGGCCAAGGAGTGCTCCATGGGCTGCAGGTGGATCTGTGCTTCCCCAGGGACCTCCATGAGCTGCAGGGACGTCTCTGCCTGTACTTCCCTGGCCTTGGTGTCAGCACTGCTGTTCCTCTGGCATGTCCTGTGTCTTCTCTCCAGCTGCTCCTGTGCAGTGACTTTGTCCCTTCCCAAACACCCATCCCAGCAGTGGGCTCAGGGCAGTTCTGCTCTGGGGTGCCTGGGGTGCAGATCCCCTGCAGAGCAGTGCAACCCACTGACTCCAGGACCCTCCTTCACCACGGGCTGGGTGTGTGACCTTGGCTCTCTGTGCCATCGTTTTCCATTCATGAAATGGGGAGAAGGAAATCTCCCTTTTTTGCTGTCTATTTTGAGGAGAATTGTGCCAGTAGTCACAAACTGCTGGGATTCCTTGCTCGTGGAGGTCACAAGTACAAAGGATGCTATTGCTGCTGACACAGCCCACTTCAATTAACTTCAGATTAACCTACTAATGTTATGAAAGAGTTTTATTTGCTTTGAAAGGTATTTTTAAAGCTCTGAGTCAACTGCTGTCAAGCCTCTCATGGTGTCATTTTTTACAAACTTCTAAATTTTTATACTATAAATCATATAGACAAGTGCTAATTAGAGCTCCATAATACTGTGTGTACCTTTGAGGGAACAGAGATTTCCTTTTATTTTACTGCCTGCCATAACATGTGGCCTGTCAGCCTTCTAGAATGGTTATTTGGGGATACCTTGATTTTGCTTGTAAAATCCAAGCTAAATATGGGAATAGCTTTTTTGTAATGTTAAAATGTTGTCATTCAAAAAGTGGTATTTTTATGGTTTTGCCCAAAAGATGATCTGTAGAATGACCAAAAGTATCAGGAAAATTACTCTAGCTTTTTTTCTTTACTAGATTTCTCAACTGAAAATATTTTTCTGATTGTTTCAGGAGTAAAAGTTCCTCGTAATTTTCGTCTTTTGGAAGAACTTGAAGAAGGTCAGAAGGGAGTAGGGGATGGAACAGTTAGCTGGGGCCTTGAAGATGATGAAGATATGACACTTACAAGATGGACAGGAATGATTATTGGGCCTCCAAGAGTAAGTATCCACTTAAATATTGAAATAGTACTATTCCTTTTTTTTCCCCCTTCCCCTAACATAACCACTGAAGTAGAAAATAAGCAAAATTCAAAGGAGTGAGAAAAACACTTTAGGAAATGATTTATGTTGAAGTTCTTTATAATAATGGGTTTCATCTATCTATATGGCTTCTTGCTTATAACTGGAAACATTTTGGTGCCTTTCTCTGGTTAGTTCTGTTACCTGTCTGCTTTGTATTTGCAGATTCAGTTAGACATAACTTCGGAGATCTCAGAATTCTGATGTCCTTACCCTTGAATCCAGCAAGATTTAAAACCCCTCAGCTAGTGAGGTTCCAAAGGGAGCTGCTGCAGGTGCCAGGGGATGCTCTGTGCTGGTTTTTCTGGTTCCTGCTCAGTTTATGGGGTGCTGTTATTGCAGCAGGACTGACCAGCTCATGTAGGATTTCAGCTGACCGAGGAAACTCAAATTTTAGTGATTTCAGTCTCTTCTCTGAATGTCCTCTCCCAAAGCAGCATCTTACAATGCAGCTCGTCTTTGTGGGAGTATTGTTGTGTTCTCTTTTCCCCCCAGCCCTACTAAATGTGGGTTTACACTCTGGTAGTGAAGTTGGGGACTTAATTGTGTGTTGAATGTCTGCATGTGTTCTAAAATCAGAACTTGTGTGCTGTCTCCAGTTTCACTGTTCTGTTTCCTTAATATCCTTTGATGGAGTGCAAGTAGCCAATTCTCCTTCCTGCAGTAGCAGATGTCTTCTACATCTGGCCTCACTATGATTTCTCAGTAATTCCAGGGGTCATTATATGAAAATCTTTACAGACCTTTAATCATGTTCCTGCTCTGTGTTCCCATTCTGTCAGTTGCCTTTTTTGACAGGCACTGAGGTTGTACAAGAACGTGTGTTATGAAGGCATTATACATGCAGTGTTTTCTGTCTCACCCAGAAGTGTTGTTTACTTGTTGTCTGCCTTTGCTAATCTTTCCCCAGTCACGAGCATTTCATTCGTTTATGATGTACCCAAATTGTTTTCTAGAACAGCATTTGATTTTGGAACATTAGGAGAGTGCTAATGAGCCTGCATTAAGGCTGTGAAGAAAGCTCACTGTGTGCATAGGCTTTATGGAAAATTTAAACAACCTTGAAATCTAATTTTGAAAATTAAATAGGAATTGAAATGTGCAAACAGGAGCCTGCAGCCTTGCCAGCAGTGATGGAAGTTTGCAGTTCTTGCCATGCTGCAAACCAAGGCTGCAGGACCATCAGCAGAGGAGTCAGCTCTGCCTCTCCTTTTTTTAGACTTAGGAGTAGAGATCTTCTTGCCAGAAGTGTTGTGACTTCTTTTGAGCTCCTTGCTTGAAGGCAGCAGAGTATTGAGAGAGATCCTGGGGACTTGCAGCCATTCATGTGTGCTCTCCTCCTTTTATCACTGCTCATATTCAGTTATTACCATTGTGGTTCTTATAGGATGTGGAAATACTGGCTGGGGACAAAAGCTAGGTGCAGTTTCCCTCCGGGTGGAAAGCAGTCACACTTGCAGCAGTGGGAGAATGTTGTGCTGGATTCCAGTGGGGAAAAGGAGCAGCTATGCAGAGCTGGAGTTGCCTGTGTGCTGCTGTCCTGCACATTGTGTCGTCCCCAGGCTGTGGTGATGTCCCACAGCCAGGGAGCGACCTTGTTGACACAGGCTGTTCAAAACCAGTGGCAGTGTCAGAGCTGCAGCTCTGTCTGCAGTTCTGTGCTGGCTGTGCACTCTGGGCTTCCCTCTGCCTGCTCCCTGGGTGGGGTGGGTGTTCAGGCACCCCAGGGACCCCAGAGCCCTGCATGCAGCTCAGGGCTGCTCCCTGCTCCGTGCACAAACACCAGCAGAATTTATTACCCTGGAGAAGCATTAGATACTCTGAATATTATAAAATGAACTAAAAACAGGTGGCCAGCATAGTGTCTGCATGGCTGCCCACACTTTTGGTATTTCTCATGTTCCTGAAGTAGCCACTGCTTTAAACAAATGCTTATTGAACTGCCTGATGTAATTGTTTCCCCCTTTCTTTTCCCCTCAGACAATTTATGAAAACAGAATATACAGCCTTAAAATAGAATGTGGGCCTAAGTATCCAGAAGCACCTCCATTTGTAAGATTTGTAACAAAAATTAATATGAATGGAGTAAATAGTTCTAATGGAGTGGTAAGTTTTTTGCTTTTATTCATTTTATTGTTGGGTTTTTTGTGCAGCTTCAATGCTTTATTTATACTTGCAGCTTGCTTAGCTGCTCATTGCTTGTGGTGCTGTTTGTTGGAGAAGGAAAGGGGGTAGAAGGGAAGTGGACAAGTGATGATTTATTATGCTTTTAAAATAACACTTGATTTGATTTCTCCCACTCAGATTTCATGTGAGATCTGTAGTTGGGGCTGTGAGGAGTTAAGTGTAACCAATTCTGACAGGAATGGTCTTTTTGTCTGTTTTAGGTGGACCCCAGAGCCATATCAGTCCTAGCAAAATGGCAGAATTCTTATAGTATCAAAGTTGTTCTGCAAGAGCTTCGGCGTCTAATGATGTCTAAAGAAAATATGAAACTTCCTCAGCCACCTGAAGGACAATGTTACAGCAATTAATTAAAAAAAAAACAAACCAACATGCCCCCCTTATTCAATTTAAGCTGTCTTCATTTTCCACAGTAGTAAATTTTCTAGATGCATCTTGTAGACCTCAAAATACTGGAAAGGAAGTTCCCATTCAAAGGAAGTTTTTCTTGAGATACTGTAAATGATACTAATTTTTTTTTTCATTTGAAATATAAGTTGTGCTATAACAAATAATCCTGTCGTGTAACCACTGTCCACATAGCTGAACTTCTGGTATCAGGAAAAGTCTATTTAAATTTATTACTGTCAAGACCAGTGTGGCACATCCAACTTAACTGTGAAAGGATCCATCCCACAATCACCTTGCTGTGTGTCTGGCCTGGGTTATTTTTTTTCTTTCTCTGTCTTTTGCAATAGAGTCGAAGCTCAGGGCTATTTATTAGAGTAGACACAAAGGTTTTTGCTTCCAGTGCTACACTGGGCTGTATGGACTACTACTGGGGATGTGTGCTAACCTCAGTCATCCCTCCCTTTGTGCTCGCTCTAGTAAAGGCTGAATGTGACTGTGGTCGTTTTTGGGTTTTTATTATTTTTTTTAAATGCCCTGATAATCTGGGGCAAGCTTTCCTTCTTTCCTTTGGCCAAGGCATAGATTGTATTTCTCTTCCTGGTCCCCCTCACCAGTGACATGAGCTTTGGGTGAGGGATTCAGGGTTCTTTTAATCTCTTCCCTCTTCCCCTCTTTTTAGTGGGGGTGCTGCTTTCTTTTTGCCCCTCTTGGTGACTCTTCTCACCCCTGGCCCAGGGGTGAGCCTCGGGGCAATAACTTGACCTATTCCCTCCTGCTTATCATTTTGGTTTTGCAACAAATTTAGTCTTCACCAGCCTGGGAAACAAGAGTATCTGTTCTGCTGGCAAACGTGGGTTTTCCCTTCCCTGCAGCACTGCTGCCACACCGCCAAGCTGGCCACGGCCGTGCTCTTAGATAGGCTTTGAGTGGGGAAAAGAGCAGTAATTTACCAGGATTGCCCAAACCTTCTGCTGCCAAACCTTAGTGGGGGAGACTCTGCACGCAGAGATTGTGACCACGCTCCAGGTACCCTCAAATCGCTGTGTTTTGGTGCTTTGGATTGACCCAAGAATGTTCATTAACAAAACGTTGCACTTGTGTTTGCCCCTTCTAAAGATGTGACAGCCACAGACAAATCAAACCCGGGTGGAAGATTTCATTAGGGTTCTGTAAGTCTTAGAAATCTCTTCAGTGAAGATTTTGGGGAAGCAGTGGCACAGCAGATTAAGGACCTTGATTGGCTTTGCATCCTGGCAAATCACTGCCTTTTCTGGTTTACTGTTCCGGACCACTAACTGCTGCAATGTGGATGCAAGCTTACAGGAAACCAACCTAGTGTGTCCTAAGTTTTATGAAAAATTCAGTGTTTGTGTAAAAAAAAAAAAAAAAAAAAAAAGGAAAAAAAGAAAAGAGTAAAAATAAACACATTTTAAAGCAGCAGCTGTCAAGTCAATGAACAATTGATGTTTCCATTAACTTCTGAGGAAAATATTAGTTGTAAGGATTTAACATCCTCTGTACTGAAAGTTTAACATAACAGTATTCCATAAGCAGCCTTTTTATTGTATCAGACCATTGCCTGATTTTAATATAATAAAAAGTGTGCATTAATATTAGAAGGCTTTAATTGTATTTATGTTTAGAATTTTGATCCCTTGTGGAGTTCTTGATTTGTTGGAAGTATCTTCCTACAGATCACATTTAGCTGACAGGATGTAAACTGGAGGTGAAAGGCAATTGTCTCTATCCAGCTGCTGCTGCTGTGCCAAGGAGCATCTGTAGTTTTGGTTTAAGCCTCAGGCTGCCCCAGACTTTGCTGTTGGTAGCATCAGGTGAGGCCCAGGAGCTGCCAAGGGGTTCCTGGATCCCTGTGCTGCCGGTGCTGTGCCCTTGCTGTGCTGGAGCCCCGAGGAAATGGAATCCTGTTACCCTGTCTGTCAAGGTCAAGGAGTACTTCACAACCTGCAATTGTGTTTTCCTCAGCTAGTGAAGAGTGTCTGCCTGCAACGTGCCCTGCAGCGAGCTGAGCTTTCCTCCCACCTGGGTAAAAACAGGGCTGTGAAATGTTGGCCTTTCCCCGGTGTGAAGTCTCCAGAGCATTGCTGGAAGGTTCTGATGCATTCACGCAGTGATGGCTGAAACAAGGTTCTTCTGGGCTGGCAGTGGAACAGGGAACGACCTTGTGAAGCTTTGTGAAACTTGCTGCTGGTTCCTGGGCTGGAATGAATGCTGCTGGCTCCTGGGGCAGCCCCGAGGCTGGCTGTGAACACAATGGGACTGTGTGTGTTTATTTAAAATAGCTTAGCGTCAAAGGTGCTAAACGGGCATTGGAACAACGTGATAATTACAGTGGGCTGCTTGATTGTCTCTTTTTCAGAGTGCCCTTGCCCTCTGTGGGAGGTTGTGGTTGGTGCATGTTTGGGACCTCCCTGAACCTTCCTACTTCAAGTAATGATTTTAAACCCTGAGAGCGGCTGCTGGTTTGCTTTGCGAGTTGTACAGGTGAGAGCGTCCCACCCTGGCTGGGAGCACCTGTCCCCAGCATCTGCCACACAAAGTTGGATGCTGCTTTCAAAAAAAGCTTCACTGTGACTGTTCTCCCCCAGGAGTTGCACTCTGGACACCTCAGAGCTCTGCTGCTGTTCCCCCGACCAAGTAAGAGCTGTGTGGAAAAATAACTGCTTGTCAGTCAGCTGCATTGGAGCTGCATGGTGGCTGTGTCAGTGTTGTACCTGTGCAGGCAAGGAACCATTCACCCCAGGCTGGTGCTGCAGAAATGAGGTGTGGGGGCAGAGCCCTGTCATACCTGTGCTTACCCAAACTCTGGCAGCACTCAGCACAGTGCTCAGGTGATCCCTGCCAACCTCAGTCTGTGTCCCCAACCACTGCCTCTTCAGAGCAAGCTGTGGAGGGATAATAAATAAAGGATATTGACCATGAAATAAATGTTGTGCTTGGAGCAGGTGCTGCTGGAGGTGGCTGAGCAGGGCTCAGAGGAGGCTGCTCCGAGCTGGACCCACCCTGGGCTGTGCCAGCAATGAAGAGGGTCCCTGAGCAGAGGGTTCCTGTGTCCTCAGAGGGTCCCTGTGCCCCCAGAGGGTCCCTGTGCCCCCAGAGGGTCTCTGTGCCCCCAGAGGGTCCCTGAGCCCCCTGTGCCAGCACAGCCCCACCTGCCCGTGCTTCCCGGGCATGGGGAGCAGGACCAGCCTCTCCTCAGCCACAGGGACAGCAGAGGGAGCCAGAAACCTTCCCAAGGCTGCTGGGGAACCTCGAGTGGAAACCACTTCTCGTGTTTATCTGGAATCGGTTTCAATTTGAGAAGCCTGTGTATCCTGACTGTCCCACTGTACAGGCATTAACAGCACCACAGTGAGACCTTAATTGTTAATAAAGACTAATGGTTGTTTGCTTCTTGGTGTGTTCGAACTGAGCTCTGTGTGTGTACATAGGGAGTATGTGCTTAAATCTGCCCTTTCTGCTCTCTTGCAACCCCACGCAGTGCTTTGTATTTAAAATTTAAGTTTTTCCTACTATCATTATAGTAACAATTTTGAATCAGGGCGTGTCATCAGCCCTGTGAGACACCAGTGCTGTCTGTGGCTCATCCCAGCATGGGACAAGGACACGGAGCAGGAGGGACAGGGACATGGAGCAGGAGGAGCGGCCGTGCCCCTCGGCATGTCTGCATCAGGTTCTACCTACCCTGAACTGAAAGAAGCTGAAGAGAAATTGATACTGATAATCTTAATATCGAAACTTTTTTACTTATTATTTTATGTTGAAGAAGGTTTTTCTGGTGGCTGAGGGTTTCCTTCAGTGGAATTGCCATGTTGCATTAATCTTGGTTAATGTGCTCTCCCAGTGCTCACTAACCTGGCTGCTGCCTGAGATTCAGGTCCCTTAATAGCTCCTCGTTTTCCCTGGTCATGCTGGAGCAGATTGCTGGAGAATGTGCTGAGGCCTGGGAAGAGCCCCAGTAAAGGCAAATTTAATTTAAGCACATGCTTAAGTGCTTTCTTGGACCAGGGCCAGCGTGCTCAGCCTCTGCTAGGAAAGGGCTTTTTCAGCCCTTGTTGAGCATCTTCTTCCTTGTCCTCCCTTCTTGGTGCTGCATCCCTGGTGCTTGTGCCTTTACGTTTTCCCTGATGGCTCCCACATTTGTTGTCACACAAAAGTAAAGAGCAGAAGATGATCTTGAGGATAGAGAGATAAACTGGGTGCTCATCATTTTTTATGTCAAGCATCATCACCTTTTTTTCATCCTTATCTCCTTTTAAATAAAGCCTACAAAGGGTTTTCAGAAATGTGAGTCCTGTCCCATTTTTGTGCCTCTTGAGCCAGGTTGTTGGTGGCTTTGCCCTGACATGTCTAAAAGAGCCCTGAAGGGTGATCAGAGGGAGAGTAAATGTCAAATAATTTGCTCAGCATCTATTCTTTTATGTTGTCTTACTTTTTACCTTTCCCCTTGCTAAAGGATGTTTCAGGATAGCCAAAGCTGAAGATTCTTTGGGAGGAAAAAACCAACCAAGCAGAAGTTTTGGAAAGAAACGTGATGCAAACTTTTGAGCCATCTTCACCAGAAACAAAGGGGCCATTTCCCCTCCTGCTTGCTCTGCTCTAAAACCACGTGTCCCTGTTTGCCTTGATCATGGTCTGCAGATCTTTGGGGAAGAAGGTTTTTGTTTGCCTGGTGCTGGAGGCTTCCTGGGACTGATTTGCAGTGAGTGAGGCCGAGGGAAGACAGGCTGAGGGGAGGCTGGAGGGCTCCCCAGTCCTGTGCACATGGGCTGGGGCAGAGAGGTGGAGGAGTGCCTGGTTTGGTGAGCTGGCAGCGAGCTGCTGTGTTCCCCTTGAGACAGGGGGGAGCACACAGTCCCACAAAATTCCTGAAAATCCGTGTTAGTGCCCCAGTGCAGCTCTGGGCTCATGCTGGATGCTGCAGGGGGGTCTGTACGTGTCAGCCCAGAGCGAGGAGCGGGAGTGAGGAGCAGCCAGAGCAGGACAGAGATCTCAGCAAGGATTTGCCAAACTTCTGTCCCTCCGAGGAGACCTCTTAAATCCCTGGGCTACCAGATTAGATGCTGTCCAAGGTTAGCTGCCAGATGTTTCTCAGCTGTTTGGACTGGTTTCCAGCTGAGACCAAATGAGTGGCTGTCCAGCATGTTCGTATTAATATAAACATTTTAGAGGCCTTGCCTTGAGTGAGCCATTAAAAACTTCCCACGATCCTGTGAGTGATGCTGCTTCCTTAGAGAGCATCAGAATTTTGTATCTTGCACTTGAGTGTCCCGAGCAGGTCAGGCTGGGCTCCACCTGCTCCGTGCTGGGGCCAGGCCTCCCCCTTGTTTTAGTGGCGCCAGAGCAGTGTGGTCCCTGGAATTTGATTATTTGTGTTAGCAGATAATTTAGGCCAGAAGGCTGAGAGTGTTCCCTTCCTTCCCTGGATGTCGTCATGCTTCCCAGCAAAGCACAGTCCTGGGTCCTTCCTTCCCCACCCCTTGCCCCAAAAGTACAACAAAAAAACCTTTCAATGTCTCTTCTCGTACAGGGTCACTGTCCACTTGTTTTAAGCTTGGTTTTAAGGTTTTGGTCTGTGCAGGCCTGCAGAAGGAGAGGATTTCATTAACTCCACCATGCAGAGCTATGTTTTAAATTATTACATGTGTTAAAAGAAAGTCACTTTTTGATGTGTGGTTCTTCTAAAATATTCCCAATGCCACCCATGAGCTTTGGTGTTCAAACAAGAGTGACAAGAAATGACCTCTGTGATCTCCCACTGCCCTTCTAACACTTTCCATCATTTTCATCAGATTTTAGTGCCTTGGTTGCCCCAGACCTGGCTGTGGGAACTGCCCGGGGTGTGGAGCAGGAAATCTCCAGTGATGTTTTTAATGAGATTATGGGATCAGCTGGGCCAGCAGCCGTGCTCACATGTGCCTTGGCTCGTGCCATTCCTTGCCTGAGTCTCAGCTGTCCCACCATCAGCAGGGGCTCAGGCTGGCACTTGGCTGCTGTCCTGCCATGGCAGAGCCCAGAGGAGCTTTGGGGAACAATTGTGATTCCACAAGGACAGATTTTAGTGCTGTGTACAGTGACAGTGCAGTTCCTGATGTGTGCTGGTGTGAACCAGAGCAGGATGCAGCCTCTCTGATTGCTTTTCAATGATTTTTAATGATTTTTCAGGTATTTGAGATGCTCTGAAGGGAGTGGTGTGATGATGTGGCTTTTCCCAACCCTTCATCCCCCAGGGGTGCCCCTGGCTGAGCCCTGTCCATGTTTGCAGCTCCCACAGCTCAGTCAGAGCTCACATCCCTTGCTGGGATCTGTGCCAGTTCAGATCCCAGTCAGGGTCCAGGAGCCATCAAACCCG